TTTTGACATGCTTGGCTGTAGTAGGCGTCGGCCAAGCGGAAATAGCAGCGGTCTTGGCGGTCTGCGTGGTCACACCTTCAGCAGACACATGATGACCGAGGAAATCGACACTGGTGCGAAAGAATTGAGCCTTAGATTTCTTGAGAAAAAGTTGATTTTGACGACAACGGTCCAAGACGGCTCGAACATGATCAGCATGTTCTTCCCATGTCGAATAGGTGCCGATCACGATGTCATCGATGTATGCGAATGCAGCCGGAAGATCATGAAGGACTTGTTGAATAAATTCTTGAAAGATGCTGGTGGCTGTAACAAAGCCGAATGGCAGGCGCTTGTATTGAAAGCGACCTATGGGGGTGACGAACGCAACGTACTTGCGGTCGGAAGCGCGCACTAGCAGTTGCCAGAAGCTTTTGATACAATCCAAGGTAGTGACGCAGAGCTGCGTGTTAGGACGTCTAGCAGCCTGACCTTGGCGAACGATGTCCGCGAGACGTTCGAGCATCTCGTCGACCGTGGGAGTAGAGACTTTCGGTTGATTCAAGACGACCTGGTTCAAGCGGCGCAGATCACAGCAAAAGCGATAACTCTTGGGATCAAGTGGGGAGCGAGGGTCGTTTGGGCGTCGAGAGAAGAGTACGGGAAAGCCAAACTCACTGGATGACGGCTCAATGATGTCATGCTCAAGCATATATTCGATGGTGGCTTTCAATTCGCCTTCCAGGTGAAGCGGCACGCGATATGGGCGGCTGTTAATAGGCAATGTCCCGGGCTTGAGATGAATCTCGGCTTCGAACGAGCGATTAAGCTTGAGGTTGGTCGGAAGATCGTCGACCAAGATGTCTGCATATTCAGTGCAGAGGTCGGCAGCTAGGCGAGCTGGGGTACCCGTGAGGGGGTCGGTAGTGGATGCTGAGGACGAGTCCGGAGCGATAGCCATACATTGCACAAGGAACCACTCGTCCTCCGGATGGGCAGCGCGAAGGGCATGCGCATCCGTCAGCGAGAGTGTTGTGACGGCCAGCACAGAGTTGTCGTAAGGAATCTGGTGCAGACTTGGCAGACAGACGGGCTTGGCTGATGACTTGCTGTCCACGTAGACTTCGCGTGTCTTGGGATGATAGACAGCGTTGTGAGCGTGTATCCACTGGAGGGAGAAGATCAGTGGCTGGGAACAATTCGGTAAGATATGAAACGTATCTGTAAAAGAAAGACGTCCAATGCGATAGGTCAGCGAGATGGCGCCGAGAGTTTCCACGCGCCGATTGTCGGCGACTTGAACCACAAATCGATGTTCGCGAGAAATGCGAGTGTCAGCGATTTTCAGCTGGCGAAGAAGTTGCTGGGAGACGATGTTGAGTGTAGCACCATGGTCCAGCAGAGCAACGGTTTCTGTTGCAGACGCATTCGAGGATGAACCGAAACAAACAGGTAAGCGAATGAGTTCGGGTAAGATGAGCTCGAGAGTAGCCGAATTGCAACTCTGACTCGGGGCCAAGCAGGGGCAGAGGTTGATCTGACCCGTGGAAGAAGACGTGAGGGTGGTACACGTCGCAGGAGGCAGCACAAAAGAGCTTGGCAAAGACGTACGGGTGCTGGAACCTGGTAAGGGAGGGGCATTAAGCGAATTGCCGGCAGGAAGGTCTGTGGACCCCCTCTTTCCTGCCGTCACTCGTTTCCCGAGGATCGGGCCGAGATGGTTTGGGAGGGCAGGCCAACAGGCTGAGTGTGGCGCTCCTCTTACCTGTTCTTGAGTAGCTTTCCAAGCT